CTTTACTGATTTGGTGAGGGGGTGAGAATTTTATTCCACTATTATATGTTCAAATTTGGGGATTGAAGAGGATCTTATGTTTTTGCTGTTATGAATGTGGAGAGTATAATGTGGAATACTGGAAGGATTAAATGGCTTAATGTGGAGACTGCTTACTGACATACAGCAGATACTCAGAAAAGGCACATTCCCTTTCAGCCCATAGGGGTTTGGAGCATGGGGAGATTACATTGCGGTGAATGCTTTGGGAAAGGTTTAGTGACAAAGGTGTCATTTTGGATGGTTCTTAAAGCATGGATAGGATTGTGACAAGCAAATATTGGGGGTAAACAATATTATAGACAAAGGAAATTCATTGTTGAGGTCAAGACAAGTAAAACTCACACAAAGAATTGCTTGTGCTACTGAATAATAATTTTAAAAAATTCAAGAATTAAAAGGAAAAAACAAAATACTTTGCAAAATAATATGTATTGGGAAGTCATTGCTTGGGGGCACTGAGCTTCTCTTAAGCATGACGAAAAACTTTGGAAACGGATAGTGGTGATGGTTGGACAACATGATGAACGTAATTAATGTCACTGAATTATACATGTAAAAAAATGTTGACATGGCAAAATTTTTGTTATATATATATATTTACCACGATAAAAAGCTAATATATATTGCACATACTTTTTAAAAATAGAATATCCTATCTATCCATATATGCTTGACAAGATCATATACTTATAAATGGATAGACTTTAAAATATTAGTATTTCTTTTTGCTAAGCTATATGTGAGAAACTTAAGAGAAATATCAAATGAATTCTTTTTTCAATGTTCCTGATGTACAGAATATTATTTTGCAATATACATATGTGTTGTTTTTTTTTTTTTGTAATGGATATATATGTTCACTGAAGTTCTTTCAGCTGAATTTGTGTAAATCCAGTCATGGTATACATGCACCAGAGATCTTTATTTGGGCAGATTTTAATGTATATCTTTGTAGAAAAGGAATAATCACCCCCCTCCAGTTTACGGTATATATGTACTTTTATGGATCTGTCCCCATGTGTCTGTCAGATTGTTGTACTGTGGGGGCTTGCGTATTGCTGTGAGGCTGGAAGCTATGCCACCGGTCTTCAGATACCAGCAGGGTCACCCATGGCAGACAGATTTCTACTTAGTCTCCAGACTAAGACAGACTAGAAAGAAGGTCCCAGCAGTCTACTTCTGAAAAGAATTAGCCAGCAAAAACCTAATGAAATAGCAGTGGAACATTGTCTGATATAGTGCTGGAAGATGAGCCCTCCAGGTTGGAAGGCACTCAAAAGACGACTGGGGAACACCTGCTTCCCCAAAGTAGAGTCAACTTTAATGACGTGGATGGAGTCAAGCTTTAAGGACCTTCATTTGCTGATGTGGACAACTCAAAATAAGAAGAAACAGCTGCAAACATCCTTTAAGAACTGGAACGTGAAATGTACAAAGTATGAATCTAGGAAAATTGGAAATCATCAAAAATGAAATGGAACACATAAATATCTATATCCTAGGCATTAGTGAGCTGAAACGGACTGGTATTGGCCATTTTGAAACGGACAATCATATGGTCTACTATGCCGGGAATGACAACTTGAAGAGGAATGGCATTGCATTCATTGTCAAAAAGAACATTTCAAGAT